AACTTAAAAATTTATTCTAAATCCTTGCTATAGTGTGAATTTTTTCACTAATTTGCCGTTTAAGTGTCATTTATTAGGGGCAATAAACAGAGGTACTGTATAATGAGAGAAAACAGATATTTATTTTTTCTAAATTTTAGCCTTAAATAATTAATTATGCATTTTCATTATTTAACATTAATATTCTATTTTGTTACCTTATTATTTAGCTTCACTGAATCAGCTATAACTTCTAAAGGTTTTGAATTATTTAAAAATAGAATTCAAAGACAGAGATCTAGCTCTAGTACTAGGGTTTCGCCGGAAGTTCCGGTTCCGGTTCCGGGTTCCGGAAGTTCCGGTGTTTTTTTGGTTCCGGTTCCGGTTCCGGGAACCGGAACTCAAATTGGTTCCGGTTCCGGTTCCGGCTCCGGTTTACAAATCGGTTCCGGCCAAACCGGAACTTTTTTACACCCCTAAAGATTGATTTTTTTAAAAATATGGGTTGGCCTTCCCCGGTTGGCCTTGCAATATTCTTAAAATTTTCGCCTGCGGCGCCAGAAAAGGAAGAAATCTGACTTCTTGTCCTTCTAAATTGTCAAAATTTTCGCCTGCGGCGCTGTAAATGGAAGTTGAATGGTATATCGTAATTCGAAGAAATTCGGGTATCAAAGGGGATATAATGTAATTGGTGGGGTATCGGGCATATCAGGGGATTTGGGTAGTTCGGTTCGGTTTTTTCGGTTCGGTTTGATTGTCTCGGTCGGTTAATCAAAGGTATCGGTTCGGTTAGTCGGTTCTGTTTCGGTTAACCGAAGAATTGTTTGAACCGACAACCCTACTTAACCTGCAAATTTTTTTAAAATTTTCTAGCAAAAATTTTTTTAAAAGTTCCGGTTCCGGTTCCGGGCCGGAACTTTGAAAAGTTCCGGTTCCGGTTCCGGGAACCGGAACTCAAATTGGATCCGGTTCCGGTTCCGGTTCCGGTCAAAATTTCGGTTCCGGCGAAACCCTATCTAGTACTCGAGCAAGATTGCTATTTTGTTTGATGAAGAGTTGTGTCAGCATATTCCCTAATACTCGTTACCAGTGCTTGGAAGTTTCAGATCCAAGCCAGGGCTGCACGCAAGCCATCTCTTTTTCAATTGTATGCAGTAAGGTTGGCGGTTCCTGGGAAATCTTCGGTTATCCGGAACCGGAACCGATAACCAAACGGAAAATTTTCGGTTATCCGGTCTTTTTTCGGTTCCGGATAACCGGAACCACCAACCTTAGTATGCAGCCCTTATCCAAGCATTGCTTATTATTCAACTAATCTTTAGTTTTCTTCAATTTTGAGAATATTTTTTTAATTTTATTTCGTAGAATCGACCAATTCTCTCGCCAGTTGTTTCAATCAATCTCTACACAAAGCCCTTTCTAATGCCGATCCAACAGCAGAGTTTTTCAATTCCTCACCCTTAGATTGCCTCCAATTTTGTTATAAAATACAAAGTTGCCATATAATGGTTTATCACAAACACTTTTCCAGCTGTCAATTATATTCTCAAATTGTTGGAAATGGGGCTAGAGAAGTGTTAGCTAATGGACATGATCTTTACAAACGAAAAGAATTTTGTGGTTTACAAGAAGAAGAAAATTCTGAAGAAAAAGAAAATTAAACATATCATACGATAATCGGACCAATTTATAGTGTTATCTCTCTCGAATAAAAATTTTTAATTAATTTTGGGAGCGATATACAAGTAGTAGTGATGTTCGAGACTCGCGGTCTCGGTTTCCAAGTAGGAAATTTCCAGGGGTCTCTGTGTCTGGTATCTCGGTCTCTCTCTCGCTCTCTTGTATCGGAAAAGGAGATAATATTTAAATCTGGGGGTCACTATCGTGTTTGATGTATTAACCTTAAAAGTACAAGAGTTGCCAGAGCTTTGCCCCAACATACAAAAATATGATGATCTCTCGTCAGGAAACTGCCAATTTGCGATTATCATAATCATATATAATTTAATTTGAAATACATAAATTATATTAAGTAAAATTCTCTCAGCTTTTACCCTGTGATTCCTTTATGACCACGATTAATTTTAAATTTTAGTAATTGTTATTTACACTTTTTGCTGTTTGTTCTTCAATAATTATTAATTATTACCGTATTTACTGTATTAGAGCCCCATGGGGCTCTATTTTTCAACTATCCCGAAAAGGGGGGCTATATTAAAGAGGGGGGCTCTAATTCAGATGGGGGCTATAATACAGGAAATACGGTATTTATTATTCCGCCTTTGTAAATAGCCTATAATAAACAATCGAAATACGCCCCTAGTATATAGTATTTCCTAAAATAAAAATGCTTAGAGCCCCTCCCTAAAATATAGTTCCACTTTGGTGAGTAGTTGAAATTGGAGGATAGTTGAATATCGGTTCGGAACAGAACCGGAGAGCGAGAATTTTTTGTTTCGTTGACGATATCCGAAGACACTATATGAAGTTAGATAATGTAATCTTTATTCTTTTTGATTTAGAATCAGTTTAATAAATTCCAAAAATTTAAATTTAATTTTACAATTTAACAAAAAATCAAGAAATTAAATATTAACGGATGAATAAACTTTCCTTTCTCCCTTTAATATATCCACACATACATACCCAACAATCATTCTCACAATCAAATCAATCATTCAATCACTCCGACAAAACATTAAACACACAAAGCTTGTATAGACTCTCGGTTAATTTAGTTAGCTTGACCCAAAAATGAATTTAAACTAGCAACATGTTTTTTTTTCGTTTGATTAGCTTTATTTTCCCGCATCTTTCTTCCCATCTTGAATGAAAAAATAAAAAATATTTTGATGAAATTTTATATATTTTTTGGCATTGTTTTTGGAATATTTTCAACAACTCTTGGCTTCCAATGTAAGCTAGTTAAACAAAAAAATTTTCTTTATTATCTTTACGAATTGAAAGAGACATTTTCTTTTTGCTATGAGATCAAAAAGGAAATATGTACATTTTATAACATGTTTATGTATAACCTTAAGGATATTATTTTGGGTACTCTTATAGTCTACATATGTCATACAAATGCAAAGCCACTGGGGGAAATTTGATTTACAAGGTCAAAAATTCGAAAAGACCTAGTCGATTGTAATCAAAACCAGATTGATTCAACGATCCTAAACAAAATTATTAGCAAATGAATTTTTAATGGCATAACAGTTGTATTTCTACAAAAGGCAGGCCAAGATTCAAGGCTGAAAATTGTAAAAAAATAGGCTCCCGCAAGACGAATGCCACAAACTAGTAATTTTGCACAATTACCCTATATCTATGGGATAAAGAATAGTTTTAACATAACAGTACAAAAAATACAAGTAATAATTTATGATTCAATTATAATTTACTGACAAATTTTACTTAATATTACTTTGTTATGAATTAGTTAAATAAATTGTGGGTATATCTTACAAGTAGCATAAGCCAAATGAGTTGCGGAAGGTGTATTTTTGGATGCCGGTATGATTACCGGCAAAATATTTCTGATAGTAAAAGTTATCTAAACAAAATTTAAATTCAAGATAAAAGCGCTTCGTAAATGCAAATTGAGATAAAAAGGGGTTCAATAAAAGCCGAGTGCTTAATATCACTCTTCGAATTATTATAAAAACAGTTTTTACATCAAGTTTCATTTTAAGAGTACAATATTCGACTATGAGAATCTAGATAATTTGTTCGTGATCTCGTCTCGGGTCTGCTCTTTAGTTCGAACTATGGGACTGAGTAGCGAATTAAAATAAACATATTTCAGATGCTCGTTGCTTCCAAAAATTGGAGAGGCATTCAATTGATAATTCTCAGCCTTTAACTGAAATATTTCGAACACATCCATTAGATTGTTTGTCTCAATGTGTTGCTCATACAGGAAATGGGGACGAACAAAAAAATGTTTGTCAAATTATTTTCTAAAATTTTTTGTTGTTAATCTTTAAGCCAGGATTATGCCGTTCAGTTGTCTACGATCATTTACAACATAGTTGCCGTTTATATTCTCATGATGGAAGAGAAGTAGAAGAAATTTTAAAAATTAATTTTGGAAGAAAAAATTATTTTTCAAAGGTCCCAGCTATTTTACATCCCGCAAACGGCTTTGACCTTTATAGGAGAACAGCTAGCACACAAGAATGTGCAGGTTTACTAAAATTTGAGAAGAATAAATAGAAGTTTAAAATTATTTAGGACCTTTACAACGACTTAGAGCGTCATTACAAGCTAAGAAAAAAGTTTTGGCTGCCCCGAGCCTTCCAAAGGAAGTGGATGAACCACCAATTTTGGAACCAACAACACAGCTTACTACTCAACCAGTTCAGGAAGAGTAAATTAATTTTTATTTACTTAACTTTAAATAAGTGTCTGTATCAGTGCTGGTTATTAGGCATTTGTTGGCTCCGGCTCCTCCGGGCTTTCAAAAAAGGAAAATCAATGAATAATAGTATTCCGGGAATTTAAGCGGATCAAGGGGGATATCGAGTGATATCAGGATCTGGATATACAGAATTTTCGGTTCCAACTATCCGACAACCTTATTTTACCGAATGTAAAATATTATTTAAGGCAAGCCAAAGAATTAATAATTTTTTTAATACTAAATATGTAGTCTAATATAATATTTATTAAGAGAAAAGGCACTAGAAGGGCACGAATTAGCTTCATTACTTGATCAACTTGATGTTAGTGGATATGTTTCTAATGAACTTGATTGTATAGCTAAAGACAAACCAACAGGCTTTTTTGTATTTCCGGCTGGCCAAAGAGAAGATGAAAGGGTTGAAGAATTTCCAGGATGGTCCCAACGGGAATGTGCAAATTTTTGCGTAGAAAACGAAGTTTATAAAGATGACCTGAATTTTAATAATAATTTTTTAATAAAGGGGCCCGATGGCCTAAAATATAATTGTGCTGGATTTAGCCATGTTTTGGGGGGAGGAAAGTGTTATTTACACAGAGAAGCATCTGGTATAGAGATGAAGCTTCAGCAAGTAGATGGAGGGCTTTATGCTGAAAAATGGTGTATTCCTGGTATTTTAAGAGAATTTATTTTATATTTTGAAAAAAAAATTTAAAAAATCAGCCCATCGGTTTGGAGCTTGTCGGGAAGCAACTCCTTTCGATGTTCGTCTACAACAACGTTTCCAACCAAGATGTATACCGATTGGAGTATTTGACGGTATACAAAACTTGTCAGAATGTATGGGGCTTTGTTTAAATCAATCAGAATGCCATGTTTGTTTTCCAAAGGACCTTCAAAAATATTTAATTTTTTAGACAATTTCATTCCACACACCAACAGGTCAATGTCTCCTTCACAGAGAATATTTATTACCCATTTATATGGAACAAACAGACGTTGACTGGACGTTGGCAGCAAATGGGTGTGTTGAAAAGAAGGGATATCAAGTTCCAGTGGTGGACAATGAGGAGGGGGAAATGGAACAAAAAACGAAGAATTACAAGTTATTTTCTGGAGGATTTGGACAACAAAGGATTGAGTTAACTAATATAAACAACAAGAAAGAATTTTTAAAATCAACAGGATGTGGAGACGGAAATTTGTTTTTAAATAAATTATTTAATTTTGCCCGCCAGAAGAGGAAAGTAATTTAGAAGGAAATTCAATTAATTAAATTATTTATGTATTAGCTATTTAGTTTAAAATTTTAGTATAAAAATTTTGTATAGATTTAAACATAGGACTAAGAATAAAAATAATAAAGAGCTTGAGGGATTGAGAGAGGAGGGAAAGGTTTAGAGAGATCCAACTAGATCTAACCAAAATTCGATCAACTTTTAACCTTTTTTATAACAACAACTCACAAGTTGTTTGTAAGCCTAGTTTCTAAAAAAAAACAACGTTTCGTTCAATACCGGCTTCTCTCAACTAGCCAACGTCCACAACAAGAAGGTTCCTTAGAAATCGCTCCAAAGCTTTCGCGATATTTAACGCTTCCTCTAATTCCTTCTCTTTCTCTCAATAAAGTTTCTATACATATAGGAGACTTTTTCTCAATGTTTAGAGACTGTGAAGGTCGTATCCAAACTTAATTCACTTGTGTTGTAAATTACATAGAACTGAGCCTTACTGAAATCCCAATTTAAAATTACAAATTAAAAAATAACAGTGTAAATTTTACACAAAATGAAAAGGCATGGTTAAATTTGAGGTAAATATATACAAGGATTTACATAAGTGAGGATTATATACATAGGTTGTTTGGTTTGTTAGCCACGCATCGTCGAAGGGAGTAAATTGTTTAGATATAGTAGGTATATACAAGGGAATATGTACAATGAACTTCAGGTTTTACTTTGAACTTCCTCTTCTTTTTCTTTCCTCTCTCAATTATATCAGATCATTTGGGCCCATTAGAAGTTGGACTAGTTGAAGCAGGCGAAGTGGAACCTGTCGATGAACCGTCGCACTTGACACCTAAATGATTTTATAGTTTTCTCGAGTAGAATTTAAATTCCATTTACTCACCGTTATCCTGCCCTAAAAGATGTTTTTTAACCAAGCTTCCAGATGTAGTCAAACGCTCGTCGACACCAAGCTGAGAAGCTTGAGTGCCTGGCTTTAAAGCTGCAGCCCCTTCATCCTTGTTTTCAATGGCCCAGTTTACGTAGGAAATATATCAACTCTGCTATCAATTATTTTGAATTTAACCTCCAAAATATCAACAAACTAGTACCTCTTTTACTTCCTGACTCAGAGCATTATGTGTGTGCCAATCAACTATCACATAAATTCCTACTTCGATAGCTGCTTTTATCACCTTTTCAACTCGCCCTTTTTGGGTTTGTTCTGGTTCTGGGCCCTGCATATAAGCTTCAGCACCTTCATCTATCCCCATGGCAGCTCGAACAACATTAGAATTCCATTGGCATTTCAATGCTCTGACAACTTCTTCGTTATAGAAAGGGAAACCTGGTTCGTAGTTTGACTGGAATAGAGACATTCCATGAAGGGCAGCAGGCTTCCCATTACCCAACAATTTCTTTCCTGTTAAAAAACTTTATCAAAGTTTTATTATTAAAACTACCTTCAACACTCAACTGTCCCTGAGGGGGATCAACAGCAAAAACATCGAAAAATTTTAATAAAAGGAAAACCAATGCTATAAAGGTTTTCATATTTAGCCTTTTGGAATGTTTAGCCGGTTTTGGCTTTGACTGACGGTTTTTGACTTTTTAGACGGGTTTTGATTTTCTAGAAGCTTTTAAAACTTTTTAATAAACTACATTATGGCTTTTGACTGCTCCCTTTATAAAAACCAGCATTTTCCACTCCTCCCATTCCTTCGACTGTCTACATGTGAATGTCTAAGCATGACTTTAGACAAAGAAATTTTTTCAGACATGCCCAAAATCAGATGTTTCCTTTGTCTAAAAATTTATTCCCCCTCTCTCTCCCTTCGAAGACAATGAAAAAAAAATTTTTTTATAGCCGGCCAAAAATCATTGCCCTTTAAGGCATGACTTTTGGCAGTGACTTCTCGCATGACTCAAAATCAGCTGCCCTTCATTGTTTATGGCCAAAGGCATATTAAAATTTAAAAGGCCAAAAATTAATTTTTAAAATAATTTTTAAATAATTTTAAATTTATTAATATTTTTAAAACAAAACTTTAGGTAGGGGGTTGATTGCCGGCTGGTTAGGGAGAAGCGGGAATTGATGGTAGCGAAATGCTTTTTATTATCAATCATTACCAAAATACTTTTATTAAAATTATTTTTTAATTTTAAATCAGGTATTTACCCATCTCATTTGAGTTTCTGTTTAATTTATCCGTTTTATTATAATCATCTATTTCTCTCAAACATTATACCGTATTTACTGAAATAATTACCCGTGGTAATTATTGTTTCGACCTCTCGCTGGAGGGGGTAATTAATAGGGAGTGGGTAATTATTTGAGAGAGGGTAATTATTTGAGTAAATACGGTAAGTTAGAATGTTGGCATGTAACGTTATTCCATGCAAAACCTCATAAAAAATTTTTTTTTTAAATTTTAAAAATTGTTTTCGGATAACAATCTTTAATCTCTTACAACTCTCTTCAGTTTACTAAAAACAGCATTGAAGCTTATAATGGGTGTATATAAATAGAAGGTATCGCTTAGGTGTCCCCCTCCTACTGGTCAGGATCGTCTATTTTTAATTAACTGATTATGATTTATTTTTTATAAATAAGTTAAAAAAAAATTTCTATTGACTGAAACTTAACATTCCATTTTAGAAAAATGCCGATTAAATACCTCCTAACTTCATTTTACTTAAAATGTTTAAACTAAGCTTAAACTTAGGTTTTTATTTTATACTCGAAATTTATTTTTGATATTAAAAAAAACGAAAAAACAAGTCAAAATTTCCACTGAATTCCTATAATTCTAAAAATTTTCGCCTGCGGCGCAGAAAATGGAAGAAATCTGGCTACTTGGCCTTTGAAAATTCTTAAAATTTTCGCCTGCGGCGCAGAGAGGTTTGCAGGATATCGGAAAAAGCTAAGCCTGTGTGACCTCTTTTTTCTTACATCCCAGCACTGTATTTTTCTATTTGCCTTAGGCAATTCACTGTAGGCAATAGATGAATCCCCCTCCGAATCCCTCAACTTAAATAATTCACTCAAATATCCGATATCTTCTAATTCTCTTATATAACCAGTGCTGTGTATGGCACCGCGAGCTGGCACTGGAGCCCGGATTCGTCGGAGCCGAAGCCAGAGCCAAGATTTCAAAAGCTCGGAGCCGGAGTCAATTAATGGCCAATACCCACACTGTATTTTCACTTGAGGCTCTAAAAAATACTCGCTTCCCTTATTTTTTCTTTTAAATGTATACGGGATACTTAATACTTTGTAACTTTAATCGTAATTTTTTACTCTATGTTTACTCGTTAAAGTAAGATAAAAATTATTTAGAAATTACTTGAGTGCCGTTTCTTACTTTGTTTATTTCTTTAGGATTTTCTCTCAACTTCTATTTGAGGTTTCTTTTTAAATTATTTTAAGCTTAATTTAACTCAAATATGTAGTAAATACAATCTTTTTAGGGCTTTCAGGGCTCCGATTTCGAATTTAAAAACCGCATAAAGTGATTTTACTTTAATTTTAAAAAATTAATGAAAACAAACAAATATTTATCGGTTATCAAAAGGGCGGTGATTGAAAATTTTTAAAAAATGTTTAGATAAAAGGGGAAACAATTGTTTGTGAGGGGATATTTTGGAGTAAAGAAACTTTTAAAAAAGAATTTACAATCAAGAAAACGAATATTTAAAACAAATTGATAAGAAAGGTTTAAATTATGTTTTTAGGTGAATTGGTAAAATATGTAGGTAAAGCATGTACGTATGTAGGTAAAGCAGGCTGTGCACACATCATTCATGTCTACTGAAGATGCTGGTTCGCTTCCAGTCGCCTAATAACCTATAACACTAGCTGAAGGAGAGAAATAGCTATAGTCCAGCTGCTTTACTGGTAGCCCCGGATGGTACTTAAAAATGAACAAAAAATCAGAATAGAGCACCCAACAGAAATAATTCTTAAACAATCACGGATTGTATTTAACTAAAGCTTTTGCATCAGCATCTTCAAACTTAATTCCGCAAAAATCAAGCGTTATATCTGCAAGTTTTTCTGCATAACGTTGGCAAAATCCTTGAAGCAATTGATGATATTCTTTTTTATACAATTTTTTGATGCTTCCACAAAATTCTTTGGCATATAATACATGTAAAATTCCATTATCAATAGCTTTGTTTACAAATTCAAGCTGCGTTACTTCCTTAAATTAATAATAGTGTAAGACCCTAAACAGAAGCATAGATTTATGTGAAATGTTAGGCCATTATGATAACTTTAGGACGGATAACGGCTCTTGTCCAGTTTATGCGTCCCATTAAAGTATATGCGTCCCATCAACAAAAAATTGGATATTTCTTGGTGTTGCAAAGTAGGGGTATGGTTCCAAAGCATTTCTTCATGTTCGGTACCTCGCCCACTGGGTCTGGGACCGTTCCTTACACTATCCTTCGAAATTTCTGAAAGTTAAAATCGTTTTTCTGAAATTTTTAAAAATTGGCTATAACTTTCAGAAATTTCGAAGGATAGTGTAAGGAACGGTCCCAGACCCAGTGGGCGAGGTACCGAACATGAAGAAATGCTTTGGAACCATACCCCTACTTTGCAACACCAAGAAATATCCAATTTTTTGTTGATGGGACGCATATACTTTCATGGGACGCATAAACTGGACAAGAGCCCGGATAACTTTCTTGCTTCCTGACTTTTTTGATTTGAAAAACATATGTAATAAAATTAAGGGAATACCAGCTTAAAAATCGTTTAATATAATGTCCCCCTTAGCATTAAAGCAGTTGAACGTAGTGAACGTACTGCCTTAGATTTAAATGATCAAAGTCTGGATATCTTTATCGTATTTTTAAAAATCTGGCCTAACTTTCAGTATATTATTCATTTACGTTTTCCGCACTTGCAAATAAACATGAATAAAAATAACCCTCATCGGTTTAGATTAGGGTTGCGCCCCGACCCCGACTAACCCCGACCCCGACCCCGAACCCCGACATTTTTTGACCTAAAACCCCGACCCCGACCCCGACATTCCCAACCCCGAAAACCCCGACCCCCGAAAGTTCGACCCCGACGACCCCGAACCCCGAAAAATTTTTATGCCCCCGACTCAAACTGCATTAATTAACAAGAGATCGGAACGGGATCGGGACTTTGATGTTAAATATATGAAGGAAAAGGGAAAGGAATATTTATATTTTCTCCTATTTCCTTTTGTTGGTCGGTGGTTGTGAGGTTAGGTTAACTGACTTCACCCATTTAGCTATTTTGATAGGGATGTTGTTCGAATCCATGGATGGGAATGAGGCTGAGAAGATTTTTCTTCTCAAAAATAAATATTTTTAAACTTTGATCTTGATTTTAAATTTGCAACTTTATTTTTTTTTTAATATTTTAAACTTGAAACAATATTAGAAATATTAAACTAGTCATGAATTTTCCAAAATTTTTGCCTGCGGCGCAGAAAATGGAAGAAATCTGGCTCTTGACCTTCCAAATTTCTCAAAATTTTTGCCTGCGGCGCAGAAAATGGAAGAAATCTGGCTCTTGACCTTCCAAAATTCTCAAAGTTTTTGCCTGCGGCGCTAGACTCAATGAATGGATACAGAGGCTTTAGGACAATCCCTTTACATAAGAGGGGGAGTAAGAGTTATTTTGTGGGTTTGGGGATTTTCGGGATTATAAAGGATAACTTGGATAAAGTACTTCTTGCGCCTTCAACTAATAAGGAAATAGATACAGAAAGTGAAGATAATGAAGATTAAGTTCATTTTTGGGTATTGTGACTTATAGGGGGTTTTTTTTGGCTGGACCGATTTGGACAAATGAGGTGTCATTCGAAAGAGCTCGCCGAGCTGAGTCAATCAGGGACCGAGATACAGACCCCTGAAGTTTGAAAAAGAGAAGGGGGGTCGAATGAGCTATTATTTGCATTTTCGAATTTTTCACCCCAAAGTGAGCTTACTCCCCCCTTCTCTTTTTCAAACTTCAGGGGTCTGTATCTCGGTCCCTGATTGTCGGATCGGCTCCACTCGCCCCTCAATCGACTCAGCTCGGCGAGCTCTTTCGAATGACACCTCATTTGACCAAATCGGTCCAGCCAAAAAAAACCCCTATAAGTCACAACATTCTCATTTTTTAATGAAAATGTTGATTTTGAACAGTAATGTTGGATAAAAATGCTGGATTTTGTAAATTTTTACTTCAACCCCGACCCCCGACCCCGACCCCGAACCCCGACATCATTTTCAGCCCCGACCCCGACCCCGAACAATTTGAGCAACCCCGACCCCGACCCCGACTTTGTCAACCCCGAAAACCCCGACCCCCGACTTTTTCAACCCCGAAGGCTCGGGGCGCAACCCTAGTTTAGATGATAGCACAGTCGGTTGTGCTTCTGTCTATCTCATTCCGTGATAGGCACGGTCTACAGGATTCGATTAAACACAAAACGATCATTTTTTAATTACAAAACGTACGTTCTCAAATTCAGTCATTTCATTGTCATCATAGTTATTGAAGAAATGCCTCTTATCTTCTAATTTTCTCACCAATTCACTTTCAAATTGTTTCAATGATTTAATATTTTTAA